CAAACGGAAGCAGGCGCTACCATTTTATAACACAGTACCGCCTAGGTAAGATGGTAGGCCCTTTTATTTAAACACTATTTAAAGAACCTCCTCTGCCGTCGTATCCTCACCGAGCTGTATGACAAAGGTAAATGAACTAAACATCAACTTTAAATCTTTAAAGTCTTTTTTTTTTCAGCGACACCGCCGTTCCTGTTGTTGTTACAAGGGGGAACCTCTCGGTGTTACACTGCTCTCCGTTTACACTGCCGTAAAAAAAGAAAAAGAACGGAAGAAAATGTCATTGTATGATGTTGTTACAGGGCTGGTTTTCATCGTAGTCGTATTAGACAAGTTTGGAGCGGTTCGATGTTTTATTTCAGTCTTTTTCTCCATGTTAAATGTCGACTGTAGGGCGAATACAAAACAAGCATCTCGTGTCTCTGTTCTCTCGCCGTTCACAGTAACGAGCAGCGGACGTGGACACTGTAGCTGCTTTTGCTTTGTTTAAAAACCAGTGTAACATCCCTTTATTCGGGCCTTAATCTCATTTTGCCCCCCTTTCCACGCGTGAACGAGTGCAGCAGTGGGAATGTGTTGACTCAGCGTCGTGCTGCGTCATCAGAATAGAAGAAACCCCCTCTCTCTGTTTTTTACCCCCCTCGTCTGACTTGAATGGACTTGAATGCAGCGGTCATTAATGTGTAGTAACAGCCAGGTCTTGTTGTGTTGTTACACAGTAACACCACTAAGATGCAGTGTATGTGCATGGACAACAGTGGTCAGCATCTAATACTCAATATCGTACTATGTTATGAATCTACTGAATGTGTTTTCAATAAATTGCCAGTTAGTAACATAAAGTCATGTACTTGGGCCAATGGATATGAATATATTTATTTATAAATATACGTATTTATATCCTTTATTTATATATATGTGTGTGTGTGTGTTATATCACTATCTTTAAATGCCATTTTTCAAACAAAAGTGTAAAGCTGCTCTACCTTTAACCAGAGCTCAGAGCTTTTTTTTGGTTGGTGGTTGATAGCTGACTTGTCACTTATGACTTTTTCCAGTACAAACCATCAGAGCATTGTTGGGTTTTAGGAGTGGAGTTTAAAAAACAAATTATAAATGCAAGTTAACCAACGAGATAGAAGATAATATTTTAGTCAGAAATAGCTTATAGTTAGCCATAAGCTATCATTTTTGCACAGTAATCGTGTACAGTACCCAAAGAGTATTGTTTAAGTACAAGTGCCTGTAGTATATCTCACATCAGTGTAATGAGACAAAGGTCTGCTTGTGGTCGCTTTCTCTGCAATTGTAACAACACAGTAGACTTTAGTTAATTATTTTGATTCCAATGTGTTTCACATAAAGTGTCATAATTAAGATATTAGGCATTAAGTTAACTGGTAATGTTCATTCTACCGTCAGTGCTTAGGTGTTTCTATTAAGGAGTCACATAGTAATAACACATAGGTCATATGTGTTTTAGTGTGTGGTTTCCGGAAGGGACAGCTACAGCAGATAGGGAGGAGGAGGTCATGGAGAAGGAGGAGGTGTTGGTCAGTGTGGAGCAGCTGACCAGAGTCTTAACCAAAAAATAGAAAGTGTCATTCTCTGGAGTCAGGTTCCACAGTGGCCTTTGATTTACAGCTCACCATAAAGGTTGTTCAGGGGAGAAGAAAAGGTGTTGCCCAACCTGCGGGGAAAATACAGCAGATTACTCCACTGTGTTGAAGCAACATTGGGTAATCAACAGAAATTTAATTTTGACTTTAAAAATTGAGCAATATTCCCCTGAAAATTGCTGAAATGGCTAAAAGTTAGCTGGAGTTAAAGGGCAAAAAGACAGCTGGGAGTGAAGTCAAATCATATAAATTGTCCAGTCAACACAATAGTCCAATTTAGCTCAGAAATCACTCATGGGTAGCTGTGAGGAAATCTAAAGTGTGACCCAAAAGCAACATTCACCGAGAACAACATTTCTTTAAATAGCTCAAGATATTTTACTTAACGATTACCAGGAGCTAACATTTAGACTAGAATTAGCTAAAAATCAGCTTAATACTGTAATAACCATTAGTCAGAAATCTAATCTGATATAACTGAAAGTAAAAAACAAAATATGCCTAAGAAGTAATTGACGGGAAGTTAGCCTCCATCTAAGCTAAGAGTTAACCCTAAAAATAGTTATCAATTAATAAAGCAAAATCAACATTAAGCAATTTGGATATTTTCTCTAAATTGCATACTAAAAATGACTAAAAGCCCAGTTATAACTAGGTATCCATTGGCCACGAAAAAAACTCTAGGTTCAAAAGGATTAATTACCAGGAAGTTTTATTTGGATATTTTCCATTCATGACTTATTGGAAATTGACTAAAAGGTTAATAAGTGTGAGTCCAAAAAGGGTTCGCTTAAAATATGTAACATTAATTTATCAACATATGGGCATTTTGTCAAGCTGAGTCAGGAACACTGTGAGAAATACAAGTTGTCTGAGGACAGTGAGTGTATCAAACCTGCAATATCAGACACAGCAATGTCCGACGTGATGCTGCTGACCTGAGGTCAGTTGTAAAAGTAGACATCATTGAACATGTGCTTTCACTGTGTCCTGTTCACTGTAACGACAGCACGTCCAGCAGGAAAAGGACACAGTGTTTCTGGGGCTGCATCCAGTACCATGATGTTCCTTCATGACAACTGCAGTACAGTGTAGTCTCACTGTGCAGACACTGGTACAGGGTGTATGACTCATAGCTGTGCAGAAATTAGTCCTGCCTCCTCTCTGCAGAGATTTTCTTTGCAATACTGATCTCTGATCAGTATTTTTCTTCAAGTTTAATATTGCAAACTTTCTTCCAAGGAACAAACAGCCCTCTCTTCACCACTACCCATTTTAAATACATTTTGAATACACTTTTTTCCAAGCTCACAAAGATTTTGATAGATAGATAGATAGACAGACAGACAGACAGACAGACAGACAGATAGACAGACAGACAGACAGACAGACAGACAGATAGCACGTTATTAATCCCTTGGGAGTTCCCTATTAGTCGGTATCTTCAGTATCCAGTATTCAGTTCGTGACCTATTATGAAGAGACAACCTCACAACTTGAAGAGTTTTAGGAATTTGATTCCAAAAGTGATGAATGATGGGCACATGTTTTCCATGAAAATAGTTGTCCAACAGTAGGGAACAGTTGTGCTGTTGTCCCTCTTTTTGTATTATGCAGTTTCCTCCATGTTAGCGGTCAAATCTCAGGGCTGGAGCAACCTCTGCATCCTGAAGTTCATGTTTCTCGCTTGACTTAGCCCCACCTTCAGGTGCTGAAACTTGGCACAGATGGTTTTCAGTGAGGTAGACCACAGATCTGGAACAACAGTTGGTCTAGTTGTTTTTGGTGCCATGCCAGGGATAAATGAGGAAGAGGGAAAACTGGGGAAGTTTGGTGTGAGGCGCGAGGTTATTCCTGAAGATGGAGAAAGGCTTAAGATGACTTCCTTTTTATCTCCTTTTATGCACGGGACTGTTGTGAAGGGTAGAAAATATATTAGTGTTGTTAAATGAACCACTTTAGAGTGGTACATTTTTCCAAACTTTTGCAAATACACATAAAGGTATCATTTAAGTTTAAAGAAGAATTTCACATAAATGGATTTCACCCCAACACCCTGCAGATTACTGACATAGTTGTACAGTCTCTGTGAAAATTCCTTGTGGCCAGCTATTCAAATAGTCACTCAGTTCCTTATCAAATGTACATTTGTCCTGATTGACACTGATTTTCTTTCAGAGAGAGGAGTTCATTGGTCCAGCTTTAGATGCATCCTTTTTCTAACTACATTGTGCCTGTATGCTGCTGTATGTACAGGAGCTGTCCTCCTGCAGAGGCTTTTTTAAGCCATGTAAAAGAACGTGAAAAGCTGCCTCAGCTATGTCCTGGTGTGCTGCAGTGAACTCCTCCTCCTCTTCTCACTGCTATAGAGCCATAGGTGCAGCTTTGTGCTCACTCAGTAGCTGTGGCAGCACACAGCTGTATTCTGTAGTTAATCCCCTCACTTATCTCCAACCACATCACCCTGCTGTGTCTCTGCAGCGCCATGGACAAGAGCAACACAGTGAAGCTCTTTGTGGGCAACCTGGCATTGGACACCACGCAGGAGGAGCTGTCGGCCATCTTCGAACCCTACGGCCAGGTGGTCAGCTGCAGCGTGCTGCGGCAGTTCGCTTTTGTTCACCTGCAAGGGGAGGGTGCTGCCGAGCGTGCCATTCGAGAGCTCAATGGGCGGGAATTTCGTGGACGGAATCTGGTGGTGGAGGAGTCCAGAGGCAGGCCGCTGCACTCCACCAAGGTGTTTGTGGGCAACCTGAGTGGGATGTGCACCACGGAGGACCTACAGCAGCTGTTCCAGACGTTTGGAAAGGTTCTTGAATGTGACAAAGTTAAAGGTGAGTGAAGAGCCCTTTTGTTGTATCACTGTCTGGTTTTCACCACTCTGCTGTAGAGTCAGTGCTGCATATATGTCAGTATCTGAAAAAGACCTACTGCAAGAAACTCAGTAATGATTTTACAACCAGTGCAAAGGTCTCATTCTGCAAAACAGGCTACAACCAGTTCTAAGACCAGATAAGCTGCTTTACTTGTAATGGAAGAACATTCAATTGTTGTTCCACTCAATGAAAGCCAGGTGTCCTTTTTCCTTTTTCCACAGGCTACGCCTTCGTTCACATGGAAAACAAAGAGGATGCTCTACAGGCCATTGAGGCTTTGCATGGCACTTCCTTTAAAGGACGCCCCTTGTCTGTGGAGCTGTCAAAGGTCCAGCCCAGCAAGCAAGCACCAACAGGTAAAATCCCCTGTGTGAACTGTGGGAAGCAGGGCCACTACGCTGGAGAGTGCCCTGTAGGGAAGCCGTCGTTGGAACAGTACCAGAGCCAAGCAGCCGTTCTGGCTGCTGCGGCGGCTGCAGCTGCAGGACTGCCTCTCCAGGTGCAACAGAGTGTGCACAACTCGGTCTACAACACCACCACGTTCGACCCAACATATGCTGCTCTCACTGGGATCACCACAGGGACACGCACTGACGGAAATCCGGTGAACCCGGCTGTCTACGGGGCCCTTGCCAGCCAGGTGTATGGTGCCAATGTTGCCAACCAGCTGTACGGTACGGTGGCAAATCAGGCAGCTCTCACATCAGCCGCCACCCAAGTGTACAGCTCCATGACACCCAACATTTACGGCCAAGTGGCTGCTTCCCCTGCTGCTGCGGCCGCTGCCGC